AAAAGAAAACTTACGTTTAATGACAAAAAGAACTAAATAGAGAATGTTCGTAAATGCAAAAATTAAGATAAATGTTTAAAATTTTTAGATAGTGTTAAAAATACTGCAATGAATCAGCAAATTATATCAAAATAATAAAATAAAAAATAATAGTGAATCTATAATTATTGGTCACTTTACTTGTCTATGATTCACGCACATTACACTTAGAAAACAGTTCAAGGGGGAACCATATTATTGTGTAATATAATATATCACATTATTGTCATTATATTATATTGTATTATATTATATTATATTATATTATATTATATACAAATCATATTTGTTGATTTATTGTAGAGTTTGGAATTAATTTAATAATGCTTGTAAATTAATGCATGGGTTCTTTCTTTTTGAACGATAGGTATAAAGAACTCGAAAGAATATAGTGATAAACTCTTTTTAAAGATGATATTTTTTACATCAAACTGTTTCTTAATGTAATTTCTACGTAGGTATCTCAGTTTATTTTATAACCCACTTTGAACAGCCGACCAAATTCTGAGCTTACGATATCAGTGTTCAGCTCCGTAATTTTGTAATTTTGAACCAACTCAGAAGAAAAGGGAACTCCTAAATGAAGTTTTGGGACAAAATATCTTCGTGGAAAACTTCTTGTGAAACTAACTCACATTAGCGTTACATGAAGAAGAAAGCTACGAAAATCTCCCACGGTTAGTTTGACGGCAAGAAGATTCTAACCTATGATTCGTCTACCACTGGGGATATTTTACACCAGCACCGTGGTTGATGCGAGCCGGGAGCAAAATTCATTTCAACCGGCCAACCGAATACGAATTCCTCACCCGGCTCGTACCGACCACAGTACTGACGCAAAATACCCTGAGAGGTAGACGAATCATGGATTAGATTACCCTAGCCGTCTAACTAATCATGGGGTGTTTTCGTGGTTTTCCTCTTCATGTAATGCAAATGCGGCTCAGTGCCATCAAAGAAGTCCTCCACGAAGGCAAATTTTACCCATTACTTGATCCAGGAGTTGCCTTCTGGATTGGGTTCAAAATTACAAGGCTACGGAGTTGAATATTGGCAGTCGTAAACACAAAATTGGGTCTGCTGTTCAACGATGGAGATAAAAAAAAATTAAATGTATGTATTAAATTAACATTTGGTTAATTTTTACTAACCAAAGCCCAAAGTTTTGACCGCTCTCCTGACCCAACTATTGGGACCATATTTTCCAGATTGTAACAACCCTCTATGCTTTAGGGGTCAGAAATCCGAGTCCGTCGAAAAAGGTTTGTTTATTCAGAGAAAGTGCGTTTTAGTGTCTGATTTCCTGACTTAAAAAATCATCTGCACTAACTAATTAGCATATTTCAGATCATCTCCATGAATCATTAAAATTGTGTCCTAGTACGTGAAAATTCGTCATTTTTTTTTTTTTTTTGATGCGCATTATACATATTGATTCAGGCGCAAAATGGAAAACCCATGTAAATTACATAATAAGAAAATTAAACTTTATCTTAACCAGATTTTATTGTTTAAAATTTAAAGTAAATTTTTTGTAACTTTATAATATTATGCATGGGTACACTCTTCCATTTATTATTGATTCTCATTATGGGATAAGGATTATATAACAAACACAAATAAACTACATAATATTCAAGACAAATTTATGAGTTTGTTGCTAAATGAAAATGAATGAATTGACTGAAACCACTATTAGTTACTCAAAATATAATCATTCCATTATATTTTTTTTTTACAAATTATGTCTTTATCTTTTCAAAGATCCCAAACGCTTGTAACAAAAAAGACATGACTAGCATTAAAAGACCTTACCAAATTTATTTCATAACCACGCCAAACAAGAACATTTTTCGTAGAAGTTTTCAGTATTTATTGCCAAAATGTATTAATTAACTTCCGACTGAAATTAGAAATGCAAAGGGCTTGCATAATTTCAAAAAGTAATGAAGTTCAACTTAATGAAGTTATTTTATCGTATGCACCCTTTATCTTTCTTATGAATGTCTCTTTTCACTCATTTTTCATATTTTTGAGATTTTATAACTGATTTAACTTGCTGTAAACCAGACGCTCCTGCTTGCCACACTTTAAATTATATTTGTATTTTCTTCACTGTTTTGCATTTCCCTTCATATGTATGTTTTTTCTATTTTGTGAACCTAAAGTTAACATTTACCATATTAGAGTAAACATATTTTATAACTTATTCTAATTAATTTATTTATTTTTAAATATTATTTACAATTCAAAATAAAAACAAGAAACAAACAAACACAGAAATGAATTGATATGGTAACTTTCGGATCTCTAGGTCCATCATAGTAACTACAAAAATGAATGTATATATATATTCATTTATGTATATATGTATATATATGTACAATGTATTATGTATATATGTACAATGTATTATGTATATATGTACAATGTATTATGTATATATGTACAATGTATTATGTATATATGTACAATGTATTATGTATATATGTACAATGTATTATGTATATATGTACAATGTATTATGTATATATGTACAATGTATTATGTATATATGTACAATGTATTATGTATATATGTACAATGTATTATGTNATGTCAGCTGAAAAATCGGAGAATTGTAAATAATATTTAAAAATAAATTAATTAATTAAAATTAAGATAAAATAAGTTATAAAATATGTTTACTCTAATATGATGAATGTTAACTTTAGGTTCACCGGAATTCGCATGAAAATTTTAGTCTAACTTAATAAAATGCCTATTAGAAAATATGCATATTTTTATTTAAAATTAAAGTTTCCACGTGGATTCCGGAATACCTGATTGTTACATTTCATGCATTGATACATTGGTTTTATAGTTACTTTACAGTTTGAGTTTTACACTTTTGTTCTTGAAATCTAAAATAAGTTTTCTAACGTGAAAACATTAAAAATTAATATCTTAGACCCAAGAAAAAAACATTTGCCACCCCAAAAAATAATTATTGACAATTTTGTAAATAAATGCCCAGAAGACCTAAATAGTTTCCAATTTGACTAAAATCACTTATGACCACCTTTACAACTCGAAAAAAAAAATTCTGATAAATTCAATAAAGTAATTATAAATATTATTTCTATTAATTGATTAATACACAATAATAAATCTTTCAATATTATAAAACTTAAAATCGAAATTAACATTGTGATCTAAATATAACACGATGTAGACTGATCGACTTGTAAGGAACGTAGTTTTGGTTAAAATTTCATTTCTTTTCATCTATTTTCAAAGCCCATATCTTCCTCGCAGATGCTTTTATATCCTATGTAAAGCAATCCCACTTTCAAAATGAAATAAAAAAAAATTGCATCCCTAAACCTAACCCTTCATCTGTCTGTCCAGCACCAATCTAAAAAGGCTGTCCACTTGACGCGCAAGGATATCGATTTCAGACCGCATTGCATACCCGTCTTGGAATTTATCCCAGCGCTCTTCGCAATAAGTTCCTCCACATCGAACTGCTCAACATCAATGAGTCCACTTATCTTAATTTTCCCATTTCTAAGGCTTAGAACTATGTGAAAGATATGACGACCCATATTTCCAATAAAAGTCTGCTCATCTCTCTGAGAATTTTTTTTTTATTTGTTTAGGGTGATTATGACGAGCACATATATAATGAAAGTTTTGATCTTTCATTCGAGAACTAGTTAAAAAAAATAATGCTTTGAGTTTTACAGTAAAATAAAAAAATAACGCTTTGTTTGCGAATTGATTGTTTATGTTTTATATATATCACAAAGTAATGAATCCATTTATTATTAACTTGCTGAATTGCCTTTCTTCGTACAGGGTAAGAAACTCAAGAATTAATTAAACGATATTACTCAATATTACGCAATCATGAATAAAACTGTAAACCTATACCTACATAACGAAAGCAATTCAAGCAATTTTAATTTATTTTTATTGCTATCTGTTGTCTTTCGGTGATTTTACGTTATTAGACGATTAAGAAAAACAGGTTTTTAGAGATTCAACTCATTAAAATAAAGATTAACTATACTCAATATTATTCAGCACTATTATTCAACTGATGAAAAGATTTTATCTTTTCATTTTTATGTTTTCCGGCTTTTTAATATTATTTTTTAAATTTTTTTATTTTACCTTATTTTAATAATCTTTTCTCTTNGGATTAAGGTCAGGTGAATTAGGGGGCTAAGACATGACTTGAAAGTCACTGGAATGTTCCTCGACGATTCGACCCTTCTGACATGGGGCATTATCCTGTTGGTAAACACCATTCCCAGCAGGAAAAACTGTTTCCATGAATGGGTGAACCAGGTCTGCAACTATGTTCAAGTAGCTTACAGACGTCAGGGATTGTTCTATGAGGATTATGGGTCCTAATGTGCCACATGAAAACATTGTTCCTGGGTGAGAAACCATGAACACCTGGGCTAGCCCATTGTTATAGAAGGAGGGTGGTCATAATGTAATGGCTCTTCGGTGTAAATACATATGCTCAAATCATACATGTGCAGAGGTAGGCAAAACTATTTTACCCAATATTATTAAAATAAATCAGAATTAATTCATATTATTTATATATTCCAGAAGGAAAAATATTTTCTGTAGTTTTGGAAATTCCATAGTAGTTCGAAAATTTGCGTTTTGTTCGTAGGTCATTTTTCTTCGTGTCGAGAGACGAAGATAGTTAACGAAGAACAGCGTTTGGCGCAAGCTTGAAAATTTTATTCACCTTTTATTACTTTTTAAAGAACGTTGTTAAAATTGTTAATATAATAATGAAATAAAAATAGTTCTGTTTGTTATAAATTACTTTACATAATTAATTATGTGTTTTCTACAACAAACGAACAATGGCCTTGTTGTATTCTTTTCTAAATCTATTGTTAACTGTGCCTTTAAGGTAAATTCTTTAAAATTAAATTTCAAACAAACAGTTCTTAGGCTGTCACTAAAGTTTAGATCTAAAATATGGATAATTTCAAAAATTCTTTTTCATTAGAAAAGTTTGAAAAGCTTACTGATATCACATTGAAAACTGAAGATGGCTCTATATTTAAATCCCACAAAATTCTCTTAGCACAAGCAAGCAAATATTTTGAGATACTCTTTTGCGGTAACTTTCAGCAGACTGATCAGACTCTAGTACCAATATTTAAAGGTGACGTACTACATCAGATATTGCGTTACATCATTCAAAATGCAGATGTATTGACAGAAGAAAACGTGTCAGATATTCTATTAGCATCCGATTATCTTGCAATAGATGATTTAATCATACGATGCAAAATATTTCTGTTTAATAAAGGTTGCACAGTAGATAATTGCATAAAAGTCTACAACACTGCGTGGTGGTTGGAAATGAAGGACATCAAAGTTAAATGTAAAAGATTCATTGAAATCAATACGGCAGATGTTTTTGCCAACTCCAAAACCGACATCATAAACCTATCATTAGTCGCTTTCAAGGAGATTCTGGAATGCGACCATCTTAACATTCCTAATGAATCTTTAGTATGGAATATTATGATAGCATGGATAAAAGGAAATATTTTCAACAGAATTGCTTACTTTCCCGAATTATTAAGATATATTAGACTTCAAGAGATGGATGAAACTGCTAATAACATCGAGCTACTTCCAATAATAGAAAACAGCCATTTTTGTTTTGGCTTGAACCAATCAAAGTTTGAACTCAGCTGTGCGATTAAGCAAGCTAAAACTCTTCCCCTCTCCATAACAGGCTTGAGAAGTCGCGTACCATCCAAGATCTACTTTATTTGCAGACAAGCTGAAGATGAAGACGCAGAACTTTGTATTACATATGACGAAAGATTCGATTACTGCTACTATTTGGATAGACTTCCCAAGCAATTTTGCATAGAGTGCTGTGACATTTGTGTTGCTGGACGATTTGTTTACTTTTCTTTTTACAACTATCCAACTGAAATTAAAGCTTTCGATCTTCTCCTCGAAATATGGGTACCAGTTAGTAAGGCTCATGAAAGACTGACTTCATACTCCGTTGTGTCAGTCGATGATAATATTTATGCTCTGGGTGGTCGAACATTCACTGAAGAGGAGGAAGCTGAAGATGAAGAAGTTTACATGAGTGAATCAGATGATAATGATGAAAGTACTGAGGATATGGATGTCGATTTTGATGAAATGTCAGCTGAAAAATCGGAAGACATGAACGAAGATTTGAATGAGGCTGAAAGCATTGTAGAAGCAACATTTTCGGAAGAGGAAGAAACAGAAGATGAAGAAATTAGTTCAAGTGAAGCAGATGATGATGAAAACTTAACTGACGAAGAGGAGAACATGGATGTTGATTGGGATGAAACGTCATTTGACGAAATAGAAGACACGGACGAGGACCTGTATGAAGAGGAAAGAATTGTAGGTGTAGTGCAGCGTTACAACAGTGAAACTGATTCATGGTACTTAGTGTCACCGATGACCTCAGTAAACATTATGAATGTGGTTGTGTTAAACAACAAAATTTTTGTAATCGGATTAACTAAAGACTTCGAAAACCAAGTGTGTCAAGTTTATGACACTTCCGAGGATACGTGGACAGTCATTCCAAACCCAGCATTCTATCGTTCAAACTATTGCGCTTCTGCAGTATTTTGTGGTAAATTGTATCTTATTGGAGGACAAGACAAAAATTACAACGTCATTAATAAGGTTGAAGTATATAACGCAATTGAAAATTTATGGCGTACAATAGCAGATCTACCATCCATATACTACAATCCTAAAGCTACAGTCGTCAATGAAAAACTAATTGTGTTCGATATAGGAAAAATCGATTATTGGACGGAATATCTGTTAGAAGAAAACGTAAATTCTGTGTTCTTGGACAGTGAACAAAATGCATGGCGCGAGGCAACTTTTATTAACAGAGATTTGTTGATGGAAATGAGATTCTGCCAATTTATTACTATAGATAACGCCAATTTGTTGAATGAATTAACCCGAAAACACAAGCGTATGAGATCTGTTTGGGCTAAAAGTAATTTGTCAGATTTGGCTTAGACAAGCTAACAGATAAAAATAATTTTCATTTTTAAAAAAAAAACTGAATTTCTCTAATTAAAATGGAATGCTATAGTCAAAACTTGCCGTATTTCTGCATTTGTTTTAGTGAGATAGTTTTAGTAATCACTTGTATCGGAGGCTGTAAAAATTCATTACCATAGTACCTATGTTAATATAACCACATATTATACACCTACCACATATTACATATTTACCACGCTAGCAGTCGTACCCATTACCACAATATATATATATATATATATATATATATATTTCAAGCTTCATAAATTCA